CTACCACTGAGTAGTGTCAAATACTATAGCCAAAAATGAATTCTCAACAGAAAAAAGACTTGCCATATTTTTAAGTAAATAGCACACGTCTTCTAGATTTATTTGGCAACTGGGCCCTCTCCCTGCAAGGTATTTTCATAAGCATGTAAAAAAAAAAAAAATTACCATAGTGCACTTATGAAAATACCTCATGGGAGGAGGGCGCAGTTGGCAAACAAACATAGAAGGCATGCATTATTTGCATAAAAATACAGTAAACATGAAGGAAAAAGAAAACTCACAATTATCTTTGTGTCTTTGAGATAAGGAAAACTATTACACAAAACTCCTAAAGAAAAAGTATTAGAGACAAAAATAAAATAAAATTGGCTCTATAAAAATTCACAAACTTTTAAGGAGGCAAAGCCAACATGGCGCTATAGACAGAAGCACCATGCTGTCCCTCTGCAGCAAAGACCCTAGGCATCAAATGAAGGGATAAAGAACTCGATCAAGCACTGAAAGGAATAAGAAACAGACAGAAAACAGAGAACAAGGGGAGCTAAAGAGTGGAGGTCCCCTACCTGCTAATGGGGCACAGATTCGCCATCCTGTACTACAGCCACCAAGGAACATGGAAAGGGAGAACGGGAAGGCAACTTCATGGAGCTCCCAACAGGATCAGAGCACCTGGTAACCAGGAGTACACACTTTCCCACCTCCCACCCTTTTTCCCACTATGACTGGCTGGAGAAATACCAGCTCACTGCCGCCCGGAGTCCAGCCCACCCCGAATGGCCAGTTCCCCCAGCACCATACTTTTTTTTTTTGTTACTTTTTTTTTTGGGGGGGGGTTTGTTTCCTCTCTCTCTCCCCCTTCCTTCCTTTTCTTTCTCCCACCCAGCTAGACCCGTGTGCCTTCCCCACCCCTTCTCAAAGGCTGTGCCACACCACTTGGATAGAGAGCCACTGGCACAGCCTCCCCAATTCTGAGCCGCCCCCACTGGCTGGCTCTTTCAGTGTCACTTTTTTTTTCTGTTTCTTCTCTTTCTCTCCCTTCCTTCCTTTCCTTTCTCCCACGCATCTAGCTCTGTGTGCCGTCTCCACTCCTTTTCAATGGGCTGTGCTGCTTGGCTACAGAGCTCCTGGCACACAGCCTCCCTGGGTACATGCTGCCTCCACCAGCTGGCTCCTTCAGTGCCATATTTTTTTGTTTTGTTTTGTTTTTATTTCTTCACTCCTATTCCTTCTTTCCCTTCCTTTCTCCTGCCCACCTAGCCCCAAGCACCATCCCCACCCCCTACACCTTCTCCAAGGGCTATGCCACACTGCTTAGCTAGAGAGCCACTAACACATGGCTTCTCAGGGTCCATGCTGCCCCCACCGGTCGGCTCCCTCAGCACCATATTTTTGTTTTGTTTTGCTTTTTTGTCTTTTCTTAAGATTGTTGTTTCTTCTCTCTCTCTCCCTTCCTTCTTTTTCTTTCTCCTGTCCACCTAGCCCCATGTGCTGCCCCCACCCCTTCTCAACTGGTCATGCTGCACTACTCAGTTAGAGGGCCCACTGGCAGACGACCTCCCCGGATCCATGCCTCCCCCACTAGCTGAGGTAGAAAATCTGAACAGACCCGTAACAAGAGAAGAGATTAAAAAGAAATTTTAAAAACCTCCCAGCAACAACAAAAAGCTCTGGCCCAAAAGATGGCTCCAGTGAAGAATTCTACCAAATATTCAGAGAAGAGCTCACACCCACTACTACTCAAAATATTTCAGAGCATATAAAATGAAGGGATACTTCCAAATTCATTCTATGAAGCAGGTATAATGCTGATACCAAAACCTAGCAAAGACACCACAAAAAAAGAAAATTACAGACCAATATGTCTCATGAATATAGATGCAAAAATTCTCAACAAAATTCTAGCCAATAGAATTCAGCATCATATCAAAAAAATAATACACCACCACAAAGTGG